TTAATTGTGGGGTTGCTCCACAGTATTAATATATTAGAAGCCCTTATCCTATTCTCTATAGGGTCCCTACTGTAGCTCTATATATACAGCATTAGGCTCATGGAAGAGAAGGGGACAATCCCATCAGCTCTATATTGCGTCCAGCTCTTTTTCTCTCTCTTCCAAGGATTAGTTCTATTTCTTGTGCTCCACTGATACAAGATCTAAAAACCTGTTTGAGAATACAGTAGAAGATCTTAAGGTATATAGAGATTCCGATCATACATCCAAACCGGAGACCAAAACCAGCAAGTGACCATACCACGACGACCAGGACGACGAGACGAAGAGATCGCTGTCGAGATCGCCGCCAGCCGCCGCCGCACGCGCCGCCACGCGCCGCCTGAAGGGATCAGCTGCCGAGGATTACGCGCGCGCGTGAGAGCGCGTGGAAGGTCCTTTTTGCGATCGGTCAACGCCGTTGACTTCGCCGTGACGTCAGCTTTCTGGATTGGTCAAGTTTGTTCGATTACGAGAAGATTTGATTTGCGGTCAACTGTCCGGGCCAGCCAGATCTGCATAAAGTTTAAGCAGTAAGTTTTCTTCATCAAACCTTTAGATCCGCTGCGCATAGGTTTATGTTAAATGTTTGTCCGTGATTTGTGCATATCGAGATCCTCGTGGGTTCCAACAATTGGTATCAGAGCATGAGGTTAATCCGTTATGTACAAGATCCGGATTAAACTGCTTATAATTGTCTATGTGTGCTCAAGCGCAGCCATATATATTGGATTATATGCATAACTTGGTTTTGCAGGAAATAGTTAATCCACTATTATGGCCACCCTTTTATGTGCTTGTGCTTAATTGATGGTTGGTTGTATGGTTTTAAATTTGTTTTTAAAGCCTCGGGATTGTCGAGGAATTATGGATGAATGCTTGTATTAATTGCCCGGGGGTTGACCGGATAGTTTAATTAATTAGTAGAAGGCATGTACATCCACTCGTTGGATCTAGGAATCGATTTATGTAATTTTGTAAATTATATTTTTCGTATTGTGATCGACTGTTGAAGACCGGACCTTCACAAAGATCCAAAGAGACTCGACAAAGCAAGGAAAAAACCGGAGCCGGGGAAGAAGGCTGGTCGGCGCGGCCGCAGCTTCTACTGGTGGAGGTTTTGTGGAACTTGCAGT